AGAGTGGTATATAATAATGTTATGAGAGACTAATCTGGCGGAAGTTTTGTCACTACACTCACACCAGGAAACTGCTTTTTCCTATGACCCTTCCTATTGTTATGGCTCCTCCAGGTGAGGTTGAATGGACACATGCATTCACACCGGGACCCAACAAATTCAACTAAAGCTGCGACGTACGAGGTTGAGCAGATAAATACACTGCCCATGCGTTCCCGCGCAGAGCTGCGCCTCGTAAGATCACGTACAAGACCTCCACCAACTGCGGAGTGGAGTCGAGTTGGGTGAGTAGAATTGAATCACATGGACTGCTCAAGACTGCTCAAGCGAACGCAGTTGGGTTAGTCACAGCCTCCAATAGAACGGCCCTCTTGTAATGGCTGACCTCCCTTGGGCCAAATCGTCATTGTGCGACCAATTCAGCAACCCACTGATATCGCGTATGCTGTGAGCAGGTTGACCGCGCCCAAGTATGGCTTGAAAAACGATGCAGCACGCATTCCGGAAGTCGTTGACATTCAACATTATGGATTACTTTGAAAATTCTGTATTCATGCTTCGGCACTATTCTTTTCAGCGATGAAAGCTACAATGGTCCAAAGGTCGATATTTGGGCACTGGGCGTATTACTTCACTTCATGCTGATTGGAGTCACCCCGTTTCGTGGAGAGACCGTACCAGAGCTGAAATCGGTTGGTAACTCCAGTATACTAGCCACTCAAAACTTTGACATACGCACAGCATTTGTACAAACGGGAGTGCCTACGATGCTCTTCTTCGAGCGTAACCATTTGAACCTCTGTAAAATTTGCAATTTTGTCACAATCAGCTTCCACTTGTTCCACTTTTAGGCTATTCTCCAAGGCAGTTTCTCTTTACCACTATACCTGGAACATTCGTCCCGAATGCTGATTGAGAGCATGCTCGCGAAGGATCCCTTCAAAAGGCCGAAAATCGATGACGTTAGGGTGCGTAGCTATTTTTTACTACAACTACCACATTTTACAAGCTATATGGCGCATTCATCAATGTATCTTGGCGACCCGAGAAAATGCGTCGCAGCAATGCGGATTCTTTCTTCTAGTCATTTTTGTCAAAAACCTTGTTATTAGTACATGCAGCTGGGAGGGGAGTTGAGACAAAAAAGGCTTCTTGCTAATAGTGCATGATCAATGTTTTAAGGTTACAAGGGAATGGCAGGACGGAGGAGATAGTAAGGACGCACGCAATGATGACCCCACGCACAATGATCCTAAGATGGTCTTCTACAAGCGAGAGTATACCCTCTACTAATTCCTCAATCGCTGGTGAAAAATGAAGTCAGCTTAAAGTAGCAACTACCTCAAGTTGCAACAGTTGCGCGATGCCAAGGTCCCACATCGAACAGAATAGGTCATGAACAGTCGTAAATAAGGGGGGCAGACAGCTCGCTATGGTTAGGTAGGTATGTGGCTATCCATGGTGGCGCGGAAGGAGTATGGAGACGCCACTCGAATATCACTACCCTCTAACCTCGTCTCTCTCTAAAGCGGAGAAAGTGGCACGTTGTGGAGCCATAATCTCACTCTCTGCAAGGACAAGGATCCACAATGGTGAACCCACAGTTTGCTTTTAAACCAACTCATCGTATTTCTGGAGACTGTCGCTCTTGTATTGGAGGACACAAGAGGTCAGACGTTTGGCCAACGTCGCTGTAGCTCACGATGTGTGTTTCATCACGAGACCGCGGAAACTGGTCATCAGACGCTACGAGATTCTTCGCACGTCGGATCCTACGCATCGCGGCGATGCTAACCATACTTACCCGCTCATTCCGTGCAGCATACGTTCCAGAAATACGGTCTGTTCGCGACGTGTTTGTCTTGTAACACTTTGGAAAAATACTACAAGCTTTTGGGCATCTGTGAAGTTTCGACGTTAGAGGCGAACTAAATGGTTGCTATTTGTTGTGGCGCATTTTTTTCTGATTTTGACATAGCCTAGCTGTTAAATAAAACAATCTTTTCAGAAATCCATCTGGCTACGAGGATCTAGGTTCCCCTCCACTTATGTCAATTTACGCACCTGCCAAGAAAGTGAGGAGGAAGCAAGGTCTGAGGTGGCGAAGAAGGTGGGTATGCATAAAACTTGAATGGGCGCCAATCCCCTAAGTAAGGAGGGGGCTTTTTGTGAATTCATGTCGAGATACCGTAAAACGGTGCGAAAGGTATGATACACAATAGAACGTTTACAGTTTCATTTGAGGGTTGGCTATTAGTTGCCGGTAAGCCGTAGCTACGTAGCCCGTAGCGGTTGAACACAAGAAGAAACGGGTGTTAACCAGTAATGGAATGCGCCCCGCACGTGACGCTTGAGGTGAAAGCGTGGTTAACTCAGGTGGTGCGCGTCTTCACACTCGTGTAGCAGTGATACGCCATGTCCTGCTGCGGTGCTTATTCCAGTCAATCAGTAGCTGTAGTACATTAACAGTTTCAGCAAAATGTCAGGCTACCCTGGTCACTTCCAGATATTGTGATTTCACAAAAACAAAGGTTTTCGTACTGAAGTCTGTGAGTATCTATATCCAGCGATAGGCCCAGAATATATAGAATCAATGTCCGGAGGAAACTTTGATTTCCAGCCAATTCGTCAAATTTCCCGCAGGACAGGGGACGGTTTTTCGTATCAGGACGTATCCTTTCGTAATGAACCAACCACTCCGTGGTACCTCCATATGAAACTTCACAGCTATCATATCATTCACAGCATTGCCCATGAGTTCACAAAATGCCCCTCTCCTGAGAAAATACCCTTCAAGTGCAAAATATCTCCTGGACCCTATAAAACACTTGTTCTGTTAAAGGTGTGGGCTATCATGAACAGCTACGGTATCACAGAGCAGATGCTTGAAGACTCGAACGAACGTGGCCCACGGAACGCTTTGATCGGCACTTACCGTATCGTTCAGTATCAAGTGCAAACAGCTGTCAAGGAGCAGGTTCGTCATTTTATAAACTGGTCAGAAATGTTCCAAAAGCATTTCTCATTCGAAAGCGTCTCAGCTACCACTCAGTCATCACAAGAGTAGTAGGATATCATGCTCCAATATCCCGTTAGTGTCAGCGCTGGGAGCTAGAAATATCTTATACAAAGACCGGTCGGAT